ACACAAATAACTGCAAAATTTGTTTCAAAAATTACAACAAATATATATTATATATATATATATATTTGATTAATTAATTTATTTATTTATTTATTTATCATTGTTATCACTATTTTAACAGTTATTTTTGTATGATTGCATAGAAAATTAAATCTTTAAAGTTGCAAACATTTTGTTATGTAAACAAGAAATCTTTGCTTTTTTTGCGTTTCTAAAAATGGGTAATCAGAAAAAGTCAAAAAAATTATAAACACTTACACATTGACTAATATGCATTCAAAATATGTGATTTATTTTTTCTCTAGACGATATCGTCTTGAGGCTGAGCTAGCAGCAATGTCTTGGAAAATTCGTTGGGAAGATCTTAATGGAAATGAATTGAAGAAGGAAAAGAAGAAGTGCAGATGCTTACGACGATTGCATGGATTCAGCTTTGAATCTGAAGCACTCCTAGGAATTAACAATCATGCATCCGTCTACAATGAAAAAGTATTCAATTTTTTATTTGCTTTACAGTTTTTTTATGATTAATATTATTTCTAGTTTTATTACGATTATTCCCACCATTAAAATTCTAATCATTATACCTATTATTACTATTATCAATATGGCATAATATATGTTCCACTCATTATTGATCATTTTTTACAAAATTACAATTTTATTTTATTTTTCAAAATATTCATTTTTTTATATGTGAAAATTGTTAGAATTTGACATCCATCTCTTCGCTTCAATTTCTTCATTTGGATGAAAACGAGGCAAATTTCAGCCTTGGACGCTTTCGATTGGAAAGTTGTAGCTCAGCACTTATTTTCATTCGTGAACGTTCTAATTTGCACAACTCACTCGTATATATTGTTTAGTCAGATTATCTGAATTTGAATAGTAATCAGAAACAAAATTGGACAAATTTTCACTTTTTGAAATATTTTAAAATTATTATTTTTTGAACTTTATCGTACTCATTCTTAGAGATTTAGTTTTTTTTTTTTTCAGTAATTGAATTTCAACGAACAAGCAAATGTTCTGAAAATTTAATGGTCACGTTTTTGGATGATGTCATTTGTTTATTAAATTAAAAAATTGAATTTATATGAGTAAAAATAAATTCTAAAATGAGT